GGTTATAATGGTGCGGATTACAGCACAACCAAAAAGTACCTCATTATTTCCTTACAGAGAAGTTGAGAGAATCAAGAAATAAACCAAACCATCGAAGGATGACGGCAGCACTGTTGGTGACCACGTCTGAAGATCTACACGCTTATCCGTTTGGGTAGGACGTAACTAAGATCAGCCGACATGTTTCTCCTCTTTTGTATCACATATATACTTGTACCCACCCCAACAAACACTAATGCTGTCAATAAGTGTTGGGTTTACGGAAACTGCGCAAGACAAACACCTAATATAACCAGCATACCCAAGGGCGTGACGGCAGAAATACTGCTGTTGTCTTTAAATGACATCAAAGAGCTGACAAACATACCAGAAATGCCAAACTTGACTCTTCTGGATTTGTCCGACAATCGTTTGAGAACATTCCCGTGGTCTTCTCTGAAGAATACATCAAACATTTGTGAGTTAAAGTTGAACAATAATGAAATTTCGAAAGTTGACGCCTACGTCGACTTCCCTGAATCCTTGACGTACCTTTACCTTCAGTGTAATCGCATCACCACGATTCCCGAAACCTTCTTACACGGATTGAAGCCGCAAAAAGAGAGATTCTATCTGCGCATTTGGAAGAACCCTTTCCTCTGTGACTGTAAGATCCAGTGGATCGCACGTTTGCTGCGATGTGTGTGGGAACGCCGACAAGAAGGCTGTGTCAACGGTTCTCCCGGCAGAGATATAAAGTGTATACAGGCCAAGTGCAACTTCCACCCGAATGGCGTTGCGTTCATCCTGGACTGGCTTCAAAAAAACAAACTCATTTCTGTAAAACAGCCGACCCTTGGAGAAACTCTTACATGTGACTCACCGCAAGAACTGAAAGGAGCTTTGTTGAGAAACATCTCTCTACCGACATGTGCATCTGCCAACGATTCTGCAAATTCACAACAAACGTCAGTTTCAGTTCCAGTTACAGATAATCTAGGGGTTCAAGAATCTGAGAAGGCATCAGCGGAGACAGAGCCAACAACACTCTCTACCAACAGCTGGGAGAGAACCACGGTCAACTCTCTAGAACGTTCGCTCTTTTGGAAAAGTGAGTCGTTTTGATTTCTGTTGAGATGGCCGTAGGATTATGAGACATCAACATAAAATGCTAACGCTGATACATCTACGTTACAATAACACAGACGATTTTTCCGAATCTAAAAATGGATACATAATAGACAGTCGACATCGATACGCTTTCTTGTACTGTACTAAAACAGTTTTTACAACAACAAGTGTATATAACGTGTGTTCTGTCCTCCACAGGGCTCATATCTGGCATCCTTGGGGGAGCGCTGGCTCTCTTTGTTGCTGCCTTCTTCATCAGATGTATCAGCCATTGCAGAAAACGACGACAGGCCTGGCTCAATAACATGTCCAGTGCTCCGACCTTGCCAACAAGAACAGAGAACCGTCTTCAAATGATAGTAAGCGTTGACCAGAGTGATTCTACTGTTGATGGACATCTTCAATGCAGTCCGTCAGTTCACTCTCTGTGCGAACCCGACCCACATGTTAATCCGAAAAGCACGGGCACTGCTTTGCCGTTGCAAACGGTTAGTAAGATGTCGGTGTCAAAGTTAGTCAATGTTGACCAGGGTCAGAGGAGCAATGACACCCTCAGTCCTTCAGTTCACTCTCTGTGCAAACCCGACCCACAGATTAATCTGAAAAGCTCGGCCACCGCCTTGCCATTGCAAACGGTTAGTAAGATGTCCGTGTCAAAGGTAGTCAATGTTGACCAGGGCCAGATCAGCAATGCCACCCTCGGTGCAAACGTGCACATTGACACTCGGCGAAGAAGTAAACAAAGTGCTGGTACAAAAAGCACGATGCCTTCTTTGCCTTTACAAACAGTTAGTAAGATGCCCGTATCAAATGTAGTCAGCGTTGACCAGCACCAGAACTATAATACCTTTCTAGGACGTCTACAAGATTTTTTGCGGATGCAAAGCCCAAGGCGTCCTTCAATCGACACTCGGGCTAAACGCAAAAAAAGTGCGCGTCCGAAAAACACGACAGCTTTGAATTCTATACCGTTACAATCGGTTAGTAAAATGCTAGCCTCAAATATTGTCAGTATTGATCAGTATCAGACCCGTAGTGCCGTTCTAGGGCCTATTCAACAAGATCGGAGTAGGCGATTTGACACGACACCAGGCAATTCTAACCGAAAGTTTAAGCGTTCTTGATTATCAAGTGTGAAAGCAGCTTAGCTTGTAAGTTGTAACAATAACTGTCCTTAATGTCAATGTTTTCTATCTGCTATTGTCCTTGGTTTTTACATATAACTTCGATATTCATAAGCCTTGTACATTGTGCATCCTCCAGACTAATCAAAACCTAGAACAACCATGTCGTTCAATTTGTGATTGTACATGTCCTTCGTTTTTGTAGTATTCTTTCTCTGGGTATGAAATATAGAAAGATGAATAATTAACCACGGAATGTGCACATTAAAGTAAGGTGAAAATAGTAATGACAGCTTGATCAATTGCATCACAAAACATGCCATGATTAAACACATATCTTTGTTACTCTTGCATTCAAAGAATCTATTCATTATTTTCTTTTGGTATAAAATAAGTACATAGTGATTAGCTGTGGTACAACAATTTGTTTAAATAAAGGTGAGTAACCCTGACCATGGACCCAGATGTCGAACCTATCACACATCCAACTTGCATGCTGGAAATGAAATTGGTCACAGTACTTTTGTCCCAATCCTTAAGGACTAAACAAAGCAGAATATCTTAAAAAGGCAGAAGATATTTCAACCGCCTTTTTTCAGGGAAGGAAAATATGATAACCATAATTGACATTGGTATGCCAATTACTTTATTACCTTAGCCTGTGTCGTTGTGAGTAGGGAAATACATCAACGAACTGCAAATAAGATACGAATCACGATTAAAATTTTGGAAAGACATGTGCTAAGTCCCGTAAGGGGTCGAAACCTGTACCTGCTTTTTCAATGTGTTGCCTTGGACGTTTGCTGTCAAGGTCGCAAGTGAGGGGTGTTCCGGACAAAGATGTAACATGGCTTTTATAACTAAGCATTACTATTCAAATATATATATATATATATAAAGCATCCATATGCAAACAATCGATGCAATAGATAAGTTTCAAGCCTCGTGACTTATAGCATAGACCTTCACAAAACAGAGAAAAGCTGCTACTCGCCTTGGTGTTCCCAAGCTGCGAAAATGGGGGATGAACAAAACGGTAAGAAACTGGATATTTTCTTTTTCAATCAAGAAACCGACGTCTTTGTAGTTGGGCTATTTCTAGGAAATATTCAAAATAGGACGGTAGATGTCAATTCGGATATTGCGTCGTAGTCGTTTTAAGCCAGCTGTACGCCAGCGAGTTCTGACTGATGGCAGAGAAATGCTAGTAAGTGTAACCAAATGTTACTGTTTAGAGAGTATCTGTAGTTTGACAACTAGACAGCGTATTGTAGTGGTCCTCTGAGTAGTGATCCTCGATGCAATCCTTGGCTGATACAGATGTTACATGTTTATGTAAAATTCCTTTGTAGAATTGCCACATGAAAATAATTGCCAGACGAACGGATAATGATCAGACGTTAAATGTGATAAATGACGTGGTAAATGTGATTAATCGATTTTCTCCATTGCTTCAGGTACCAGTGACCACCAGGCCCATCACAGCATAACATATACATTTCTAAATGTCCTGAAATACATTTGAAGACCACGCCTGAAGATAAATCGAATCCAGGAAGGTATCATCTATTTTATCAGCCAATATGTTTTTTGTATCTTTAATATTACTTCTACAGAATGTGGTTCAGGTCAACACAGCCGTTACTTGTTGGACTTACGGAAATTGTGCAGGGCAAGTGCCTAATCTGAAGACCATACCCAAAAATGTGACTGTAAAATCACTGTTGCTCAATACGAATGACATCAAAGAGCTGACAAACATACCAGAAATGCCGAAGCTCTTCCTTCTTGATTTGTCCTTCAATCGTTTGAGAAGATTCCCGTGGTCTTCTCTGAAGAATGCATCGAATATTCTTCATTTAAAACTGAACAATAACGAAATTTCGAAAGTCGACGCCTATGTCGACTTCCCCCAATCCTTGACTTATCTTCACCTTCAATGCAATCGCATCACCACGATTGCCGAAACTTTCCTGCATGGATTCAGATCCCCAAAACAGACATTCTATCTGCGGATATGGCAGAATCCTCTCCTTTGTGACTGTAAGATCCAGTGGATCGCACGTTTGCGACGATGTGTGTGGGAACACCGGGACGAAGGCTGTGTCAACGCTTCTCCTGTCAGGGTCATGAGGTGTATACTGGCTAAGTGCAACTTCCACCCGAATGGCGTTGCGGTTATCCTGGACTGGTTTCAGTTGAATGACCAAGCTATCGTAAAGCAAAGAAGCTCTGAAGAGTTTCTTAGATGTGACTCACCGCAAGAACTGAAAGGAAACTTGCTAAGAGATGTTTCTCTACCGACATGTGCATCTCCCAGCTCTTCGGGAAGTCCACAACAAACGTCGTCTCCAGATAATGCAGGGGTTCACGAATCTGAGAGGGTACCAACAGAGACTGAGCCCCCAACACTTGTTATCTACAGTTGGGAGAGAACCACGGTCAAGACTTCTGAATTTTCGCTCTTTTGGAAAGGTGAGTCGTTTTGACAGTCGCGTTCTGCTGACATGACGGTACCTCGTCCTTACATGGGTCTCAGATTTGAGCCACAAAACACACCTCTAACGCATATTTAAACCTGAGAAGGGCTACATTAGAGGCATGTGAAATTCTTGTATTATTAGAACACAGCTTAGCGTTGTATGGTAACCGTCAGCCTAGAGGAATATCCATACAAATTTAACGTGTGTTCTGTCCTTTCGCAGGGCTCACAGCTGGCATCCTTGGCGGAGCGCTGGCTCTTTGGTTGTAGCCTTCATCATCAGATGTATCAGTTATTGCCGAAAACGACGACAGGCCTTTTACAATAACATCGCCTCTGCTTCGCCCTTGACAACGATGACCGAGGGACGTGTTCAAAGTATAGTAAGCGTTGACCAGAGTGATTCTCCCGTTGATGGGCATCTTCAGGAAGGCTGCTCAAGAAAAGTAAAGCAAGACGCAAGCTGCTCTTCAATTGAAGCTCAGCGAAAATGCAAACAAAATGTTGGTCCGAAAAACAAGGCGGTACCTTTGCCGCTACAATCGGTTACGAAGATGCCCGTCTCGAATGTTGTTAGTGTTGACCAGTGCCAGAGCTATAATGCCGTTCTGGGACGTATACAACAAGATTCTTTGCGTAAGAAAAGCCCAAGACGTACTTTGATTAAAAAATGGCGAAAAGGTTTACAGCAGGCTGGTCCGAAAAACGCAACGGCTTCTTTGCCTATACAAACGGTTAATAAGATGCTCGCCTCAAATGTTGTCAGCGTTGACCAGTACCAGGACTGTAATGCCGTTCGAGGACATCTACAACAAGATTATCAATCGGCGAAAATGTAAACAAAATATTGGTCCGCAATGTACTAATGGTCAATATTGACCAGTATCACAAACGTAAGGTCGTTGTAGGGTTTCTTCAACAAGATTCTTCGTGAACAAAAAGGAACAAGCTATTTTAGCCGTTTTTCTCTCAATCAGCGAAGTCGTAAACAACGTGATAAGCCCCAAAACACGGCCGCTTCTTTGTCGTTACAAACGGTTAGTAAGATGACCATCTCAAATGTTGTCAGTGCTGAACAGTACCAGGACTGTAGTGCCGTTCGAGGACACTCTACAACGCTGAGACTCTTTGCATAAGAAACGCCCAATCGGCGAAAACGTTAACAAAATATTGGCCCGCAAAATATAGCCGCGGTTTTGCCGTTACAAATGGTTAGTAAGATGACTGTCTCAAATGTAGTCAGTGTTGACCAGTTTCCTAATTGTAATGTCGTTATAAGACGTTCGCAAGAAGATTCTTTGTGGAAAAAAGGCACAAGCCGTTCTTCACTCGACTTTTGGCGCAAACGTGAAAACAGGGCTGTGCAGTTATTATTACAAACACTAACCAAAATGCCCGTCCGGAATATATCAAGCAATGTTCCGAGCAGCGACACAAGCCATTGGCATCGAGAAGTACAAGGCTCTTCGACGATCAGTTAAGGTCCCCGTCACCTCAGGTTGGCTACACGTTCCCAGAAATCACAGAAGAGAACATCAAATATATGTATACCGTATACCGAAGCATCTACTGATATTTAAAGGGACTGTTAATCCATTGCTTCGACATGGGTGACAAACGGCATTGCGAATCGTAAAGTTGTATTCGAAAATTGTAAAGGAACGTGAGAATTGTACAGGTGTTAACTGTGGTACAACAAAAGTTTAATGGTAAGTGACCCTGGCCCTGTTCGAAAATATCAAACACACACACACACACACTCACACACACACACACACACACACACACACACACACATACATATATACACGCACGCGCGCGCACACACACACACACAACAATGCTTCTTCCAATGTGTTGCAGTGGAAGTTTTCTTTCAAGGTCGGAAGTAAGTGTTCCAGACAAAGATGGCTTTGATATCGAATTCATTGTTATTCTGTGGTACATAAAACAATCCAGGTAATCTATTTGGCGGCATGCCATCAGTAAAGATTTTAAAAGCCCCATGTAGCACGACTTATAAAAAAAAACGTCCACAAAAACGGCGAAAAGATGGTACTCTCCTTGCTGCTAAAATGGAATGGGGACAGCCCAAACGGTAAGGACCTATAGAGCTACTAGATATTTTATTGTAAATCTTGAAACCGGCTACTTTGTAGATCACCTATTTCCGGGAAAAATAAAAATTAGACTGTGCGGGTGAATTCGGGCGTTTCGCCGACGGTTTTAACAGAGGAGACGCTAGATTCTGACTGATGCCAGAGAAATGCTAGTAGGTGTTGCTTAATGGTCCTATCTAGAAAAGCATCCGTGACGTTCAACAACTAGACAGTTACAGTATATTGTGGTGGTCATCGGCGTGGTATGGTGCTTCTAGTATGTAAACATTGACTGCTGCAGATTTAACATATTTGCATGATGTAACATCCCCGGTATGTAGAATTGCCACCATGAAAATAATGGTCAAACAAACGGATAAAAGTCACACTTTTGCCATCATTAGATGTGTTATATGTATATTTATTTCGTGGTTGATATATTACTTGCAGGTAACAGAAACCACCAATTACCAAGCCAATCACAACATAACATTTATTATATCAAAAACACGTAGCCGCGGGCAACGGCCCGACTATTAGTACGTTTGCTAATCGTCACTATTGAAGATCACATCTGAACAGCAGACCTAATAACTGTGGAAAAATATTAATCAGCCAAGATGTTTCTTGTGTATTTTCTCATACTCTGGCATAATTTTGGTTCGGGCAATACAGCCATTACATGTTGGACTTATGGAAACTGCGCGGGGCAAGTGCCTAATTTAAAGACCATACCTGACAATGTGACTGTGAAAGCACTACTGCTCAATTCAAATAACATCAAAGAGCTAACGGTACTGTCGAGACTGATTTATCTGGATTTGTCCAACAATCGTTTGCGAACATTCCCCTGGTCATCTCTTCGCAATTTACCACGAATCGAAACGTTGAAGCTATATAACAATGATATTTATAAAGTTGACGCCTACGTAGACTTCCCTGCATCATTCCAACGTCTTTATCTGCAATCTAACCACATTGCCACGATTCCCGAAACTTTTCTGGACGGACTGAAGACACAAAATTGTTCTTCTTGCGCATATATCAGAACCCTTTCTCTGTGACTGTAAGATCCAGTGGATCGCTCGTTTGCGGCGATGTGTGTGGGAACACCGGGATGAAGGCTGCATTGACTCTCCTTTGTTGAGAGCGAGGACGTGCATGTTCTCCAACTGCAATTTCCTTCCGAGTGGCGTTGTGGTCATCTTGGACATGCATCACATCAACCCTAAATTTCTGCTTCTACCGATAGAGTATCAGTTACTTAGATGTGACTCGCCGCGAGAATTACGAAGAAAATTGCTGAAATACGTCATTCTGCCTACTTGTGCATCTCCCAGCGCATCGGTAACACCAGGACTTGGGGTTAATCATGCACCAAACACAGTTGGACAAGACAGAACAGAACTGGAAATGTCAAACACCTCCAACGGGGAGATAACCACTGTCAGCACATCCAAAGCGTCATTGGTGAATGTTTGGAGAGGTGAGGTTACATTCTACATTTCTGTACCTTTCACAGTACCGTGCTTTACAAATGAAATACCTTACAACTTCTATACGCAGACGGTAGACTTTTGAGGGTCCGAAAATTTAGCTAATCTCTAAACTGCCTTTTATTTAGCGCTTAATGAACTAAACTCTCTTCCAGTGATATTTTGATGGTTTGAATTGACTTTGGTACAATCATGCACTGCTAGGTAGGAGAATTGATACCAGGGTATCAATTGTAATTTTGAACTTGTTTTGCATGGGACAAGCTGTCTTGACATATCGCGACAGTAGTGTGTTTGATAAACTTTGGTGATACATAATTTATCTATCTTCAGGATAAACAATTCTTATAGTTTTTTAGTCCATCATATTCAGTTATCTTATACAGATGGTGAAGGAGATCATTCACGTAAGAAAAATCAACGTTCGCATGTCTTTTTCTCTTCACCACAGGGAATATCGTTTTTCTCCTCGGCGCCGTTCTTGCTGTCATAGTTGTCGCCCGCATCAGCTTCCGCATCCGTCTTTTTCTCCGCACCTATCGACGACACGGAGGAACTGCAGGCGTTCTTCGCCAAGTGAGAGGACCGACGTCTGGGACCTTCACGACGCCGAAGACGTCACGAGGATGAAGACGATAGCAACTGTATAGAAATGGTCGAAGTAAGAAGGAAGATTCGTCTTCAAACTCTAGGTGGGTAGTCCCCCCTCCTTTGCCCAGCAGGGAAGGAAGAGTTGTACCGTCGCACCAAACATCGGTTCTCTAGAGGTCAAACCATCATCTAGCTTCACCCACAACTACAACTTCCATACTCATAGGAAATTCAAACTCTACTACTGGATAAATTACGGAGATAATGTACGGATATAATATCCGGACACTCTTCTTCAGCGTCACTAATGAACTCGATAAAGCATATGAGCAACAGTTACTGGAAAAACGGTTGAACATGACAAAGGTCCATGTACAACTTCCAGAGCTACAACAACAGACAGACAGAGGTCACAACTCTACATACCTTTATTCAAAACCAAAGCTGGGCAACACACATTTGCTTACCGAGAGGTAAACTATTTACACTCGCTACCTAAAAATGTCGCACAACTCACTGAAAAGTTTCAAGTCTGCAAGCTGTAAATATAGTTTACAATGACCTCTGACCTCCCAAGAAAAGCTGACCTGGACTGTGGAAAGGACATGAGTTGTGGAAAATGATTCTGATTTGTTTACATCGACTTTTGTATATGATTTCATGTAACACCTTTAACGTTGTTTATGTATACCTTTGGGTACTTGTGTTACCTATGTTTTTTAACTCCATATATGTAACGTCGTCTTTACAATGCTGTATTTCCTTTTATGTTGCGTGTGACCATTCACGATTTTCAACATGGGTTTACACCCGGCCGTTCCACCACCACTCAGCTTCTAGAAACATACCACAAAGTAGGGTCCATACTGGACAGAGGGGGGCAAGTAGATATGTTATTTCTCGACTTTGCCAAAGCGTTTGATTCTGTGTCTCATACCCTTTTGACCCACAAGCTACAAACATTTGGCTCCTAGCGTGGCCACCTATTCCTCCTCCCAACATCTTTGTTAAGGATCTCAACAAAGGATAGTTGGAAATTTAAAAGCTGCATATTATTGATAATCTCAATTTCTACAATCTCTATTAATACACATCATGTGCAATGTCCTAAAAATAAACAGAAGCTTATTTCTTCATGGATTGAGCAGCCTGTAACGAGTCAGTCCTGTGTGTAGGTAGCTGTAGAATATCAAATACTTGTTCCGTAAAACATAATGCCAACAGAACACACAATAGCATCTTGAATTGTTGTGGATATTATTTTCCACGAACTGTTATGATTAGTCTGAGCTGCTAATCCAACTTGTGCGGAGCCTCCAAACCTTTAAATCGTTGCCACCTATACCTCCCACCAACTTAGTTCTGTGCACAAAAGTGATCTTTTGACCTTGCATCGGGGAACAAAGACGCTCAACAAAGGCTAGTTGCAACTTAATAAGCTGCATGTCTTATACACATCATGTGAAGTCTTCAAACAAGTAGCAAGTGCTTATTTCTTAGTTTATTGAGAAACTTAAAAGTACCTTGCAGCGAGGGAAATAGCGATACTGACGCTGTGGTTTCAAACATAGTCCTGTCCTTTGAGTAGGGAGCAGTAGAATGCAAAATACTTTAAATATAACAATGCCAACAGACCACACAATAGCAGCTTGAATTATTGTGCATATTGTTTATCACGAACGTATTATGATTAGTCTGAGCTGCGAACCCATGATGTGTGCGTCATATACAAATGTATGACGGCTTTCAAACCAACGTTCACCGTTAGTCTCCATGGCCACCTATACCTCCTCCCACCATCTTTGTTCAGGGACCAGAAGTGGGCTTTTGGTCTTACATTGAGCAACGTCGTTTATAGTCAGCAGAACCTCAACCAATGACAGTTGCAAATTTAAAAGCGGAATATCTCTTTTAATACACATCATGTGCAGTGTCCAAAAAACTAACAGAAACTTATTTTTTCATTGATTGATTAGCATGTAACGAGTCAGTCCTGTGTGTAGGTAGAAGTAGAATATCAATTCTTTTCAAAAATACTTGTACCGTAAAACATAATGCCAACAGAACACACAATAGCATCTTGAATTGATGTGGATATTATTTACCACAAACGTGTTATGATTAGTCTGAGCTACTAATCCAATTTGTGCGGAGCCTCCAAACCTTCAAATCGTTGCCACCTATACCTCCCACCAACTTAGTTCTGTGCACAGAAGTGGTCTTTTGCCCTTGTATTGAGGAACGTTGTATATACTCAACAGACGGTCAAAAAAAGGCTATAGTTGCAAACTTAATTTCCTTAGTAATACACATCATGTACAGTCTTCAAACAAGTAGCAATTGCTTATTTCTTAGTTTATTGAGCAATTAAAAGTAACCTGCAACGAAGAAAATAGCTTCGAATTCCGATCTTCTAATTTGGTGACCATTGAGTAAAGATCGTTGTTGGCGTCACAATTTCATTCTAAACAACACGCGGCTTTGGAATATTTAAGATGGCGAAAATATTGCTGTCGATTTGTTGCGCACAAGCGTAGGTTACCGACGGCTATATTTACTTTAGGTGTAAAAAGTAGACCACCACAGCGTCTGCGAATATAATATTACACTATTGAAATGTGAATCTGGGTGCTGCATAGATCAACATTTCTTCCACTGTGAGTTACTTACATGGCACAGACTACGTGATTGAAAACACGAAATAAAATAAAATAGAATCAGAGATTTTTTTGCGGTGAGTATGTCGACCCCTGTGTTGCAGCTACCAGATGCTAGGTCGCAAGTGTGGCTTCGACTTGTTACTTTCCCCATGGGGAAGTGAAATAATTGTGTTGATGTGCATGTCTGCGTATGAGTGTGTTTGTTTATATGTATGTGTGTCTATGTGTGTGTTTGTGTGGGTGGGTGTGCATGTGTTTGTGTGTGTGTTTGCTTGTGTGTATGTGTTTCTAACCAAGGGATTGAAATACTGAAGGGGCGAAGTCTGCCATTTCTGGTTGCCTGATCGTTGTGAATCTTTCGTTTCGCAAGACCATCTGGCGAAAAACTGTAGGTAAAATATTCAGCACCAGAATAAATGAAAAATACTCAGACCTTGAGCCACCTGTCCATATGTCCATACGTCACAGGCAGCGCGATGTCGTGAATGTTTCATGAACATGTTGCATAACACCGCCGGCGTCTACAAATACACCATACAGTGTCTGTAGATGTGACCGGTTCAGTTGGTAATTCACAGTTAAGGTAAGCCGAGTGCTTTTGATTGACTCTAGACGTAAATTGGTTTCCATTCTGACACCTAATTGCAAAAACAGATGCATGGCACCGCTTTCTTTTTCCCACGCTTTTCGCTTGCTTTGTAACCTCTTTCAAGCTACGCCTGTGTTCTTCGCTACAAAGCGAGGGTCAGTGTAGGTCAGACACAACGTGAAAGCGTATACGTACTAGATAACAACCAAAACGTGGGAGTCTTATGAGACAAAATCATTGATTTTCTTTATTTTCTAAACACCTGGTATTACTGATCATGTATCTTTTGTCTTGTACCTCAGTGGGGTCGAAATGTTGCCGCAAAGAAGCTAATGTTTAACATTGTATAACTTTGCAGTCGCCGGGGTTTTCACCCTAGTGTACGGAAAATGAAAAAAAAATCCTCCTGTATTTTCATTGGAAACACGCGGATAACAGTGGCAATGTAAACATTTAATTTTTACGTATAATTTTTAGATGGTTTACTCAAGCCAAGGCTCAACAGTTAGTAAGCAATATAGATCTTCACTCGATAAAAATAGGGATGTATTGGGACGGTTTTCTCGCAGCAGGCAGTGTCTGCATTGGCCCATTGCACTACATTATTGGCTATATTCGGGGGATAGCCCTTATGTATGACGGTTTCCTCACAACAGACTACGAGACAGTGTTTGTATTGACATAACTTTGTTGTTGGCAACAATATTTTAGGAAAAGTCACCAAGTTTGGTGGCCCTAGCACAAGCCGTTCGGACGTTAACCGATATCAAAGTTGGCGCGGCCACTTTAATTTCGCCCCCTTCCCCAGTCTAGATATGGTTAACATCTTATGATTATATGTAATTTCTATCATTGAATATTCATAATTTATGCTTATTGATGACGTCATCGGTCAAAATCCAATTGGCTCTTGTGCGTATCTTTTCACATAAAACGTTCATATGTATACCTTTAGTCCATTTGTATTGAGTTTTGAGGTTGTATCTTGTAAAGAAAATCACTGTTTCCTTTCAGAGAAGTTGAGAGAATCAAGAAATAAACCAAACCATATATAAACCGTATATAAAGGGTGACGACAGCACTGTGACCACTCCTGAAGATCTACACGCTTATCCGTTTGGGTAGGACGTAACTAAGATCAGCCGACATGTTTCTCCTCTTTTGTATCACATATATACTTGTACCCACCCTAACAAAAACTAACGCCGTCAATAAGTGTTGGGTTTACGGAAACTGCGCAGGATATACACCTAATCTAACGAGCATACCCAAGAACGTGACGACAGAAATACTGCTACTGATGTTGAATGACATCAAAGAGCTGACAAACATACCAGAAATGCCGAACTTGACTCTTCTGGATTTGTCCTATAATCGTTTGAGAACATTTCCGTGGTCATCTCTGAAGAATGCACCAACCATTTGTAAGTTAAAGTTGAACAATAATGAAATTTCGAAAGTTGACGCCTACGTCGACTTCCCTCAGACCTTGGAGTATCTTTACCTTCAGTGTAATCGCATCACCACGATTCCCGAAACCTTCTTACACGGATTGAAGCCACTAAAAGAGACATTCTATCTGCGGATATGGCAGAATCCTCTCCTTTGTGACTGTAAGATCCAGTGGATCGCTCGTTTTCGGCGATGTGTGTGGGAACACCGACAAGAAGGCTGTGTCAACGCTTCTCCCGGCAGGGCCAGGAAGTGTATACAGGACAAGTGTAACTTCCACCCGAATGGCGTTGCGGTTATCCTGGACTGGCTTAAAAAAACTCATAAACTCATTTCTGTAAAACCACCGACCCCCGGACAGAGTCTTAGATGTGACTCTCCGCAAGAATTGAAAGGAACTTTGTTGAGAAATATCTCTCTACCGACATGTACATCTGCCAACGATTCTGCAAATTCACAACAAACGTCGTCTACAGATAAATTAGAGACTCATGAACCCCAGAAGCCATCAGCGGAGACAGAGCCCCCAACACTCGTTACCAACAGCTGGGAGGGAACCACTGTCAACACTCCCAAACTTTCTCTCTTTTGGAAAAGTGAGTCGTTTTGATTTCTGTTGAGATGGCCGTAGGATTATGAGACATCAACATAAAATGCTAACGCTGATAAATCTACGTTACAATAACACAGACGCTTTTTTCTCGAATCTAAAAAGGGATACAGAATAGACAGTCGACATCGATGAGCTTTCTTGTACTGTACTAAAAACAGTTTTTACAACAATGTGTGTTCTGTCCTTCCACAGGGCTCATAGCTTGCATCCTTGGCGGAGCGCTGGCTCTCTTTGTTGCTGCCTTTATCATCAGATGTATCAGCCATTGCAGAAAACGACGACGGGCCTGTTCCAATAACATGGCCAGTGCTCCGACCTTGCCAACAAGAACCGGGAACCGTCTTCAAATGATAGTAAGCGTTGACCAGAGTGATTCTACTGTTGATGGACATCGTCAATGCAGTCCTTCAGTTCACTCTCGGTGCAAACCCGACCCACATGTTAATCCGAAAAGCACGGGCACTGCTTTGCCGTTGCAAACGGTTAGTAAGATGTCCTTTTCAAAGTTAGTCAATGTTGACCAGGGCAAGGACAGCAATGACACCCTCAGTCCTTCAGTTCACTCTCTGCGCAAACCCGACCCACAGATTAATCCGAAAAGCACGGCCACCGCCTTGCCGTTGCAAACGGTTAGTAAGATGTCGGTGTCAAAGGTAGTCAATGTTGACCAGGGTCAGACCAGCAATGCCACCCTCGGTGCAAACGTGCACATTGACACTCGGCGAAGACGTAAACAAAGTGCCGGTCCAAAAAGCACGATGCCTTCTTTGCCTTTACAAACAGTTTGTAAGATGCCCGTCTCAAATGTAGTCAGCGTTGTCCAGCACCAGAACTATAATACCTTTCTAGGACGTCTACAAGATTTTTTGCGGATGCAAAGCCCAAGGCGTCCTTCAATCGACACTCGGGCTAAACCCCAAAAAAGTGTGCGTCCGAAAAACACGACAGCTTTGAATTCTATACCGTTACAATCGGTTAGTAAAATGCTAGCCTCAAATATTGTCAGTATTGATCAGTATCAGACCCGTAGTGCCGCTCTAGGGCCTCTTCAACAAGATCGGAGTAGGCGATTTGACACGACACCAGGCAATTCTAACTGAAAGTTTAAGCGTTCCTGGTTATCAAGTGTGTGAAAGCTTGTAACGATAACTTTCTTTAATGTCAATGTTTTCTATTTGCTGTCCTTGGTTTTTACGTGTAACTTCGATATTCATAAGTTGACGGAAGACAGACAGCCTTGTACACTGTGCATCCCACAGACTAATCAAAATATAGAACCACCATGTCGATCAATTTGTGCTTGTCCTTGGTTTTTGTAGTGTTCTTTCGCTGGGTATTAATTTTATTAAATATGGAAAGATGAATAAGAAACCATAGAATGTTTATAATATTAAATAAGGTGAGAATAGTATATGACAACTTGACTTCATCAATTGCATCACAAAACTTGCCATATCAAGAATCTATTCATTATTTTCTTCTGGTATAAAATTAGTACATAGTGATTAGCTGTGGTACAACAAAATAGCCTGGTTGGTTTAATGGTGAGTGACCCTGACCATGGACCTAGAGGTTGAACCTCATCATCATCCGTCGTTCCTGTAGGGCGGGGTGAGTTGCTGCACGACCGTACTCCACAGGGATCTGTCCGCCATGGTTGATTTGAGGTCTTGTATATCAAATCCCGTGTCTCTGGAGATGGTTCTTGGGTAGGTTAGTTTTCTAGTATAGGTTTTCCCGCTAGGCCTCCAGAGAACAAGTGACGAGATGATTTCTCCGCTCGCCCTAAAGCAGTGACCAGCGAATCGAACACGTCTCTGCTTGAGCCTGAGGGACACTTGAGGGAGTTTACCGTATATGGCTGCCATGGTTGGGTGCTGTTTCCAACTGATTTTTTGTGCTCTGCGCAAAAGCTTGGTGTAAGTTTCATCAAGTTTCTTTTCTAGCCGAGTTGTCAATGTCCAAGTTTCCGCGCCATACAACAGAATGGGCTCAATAATTGTGCGGAAAACTTGTAGTTTTAGGTTATTACTTACACTTGAGCACCAGATATTATCTAATCTATTACATGCCTCCCACGCTAAGGCTTTCCTTGTTGTAAAATCCCTTTCAGAGTCCATTATATAGGATCCCAGATACTTGAAGTCTTTAACTTGCTTTATGCAAATGCCCGCTAGAGATTTAAGTTCTACTGGTGCAGTGGTGATAATTGTGCTTATGAACTCAGTTTTGGCTTCGTTGCAGTACAGACCAACAAATGAGGCTGCTTTCTCAAGAGATTGCAGGAGTAATTCTGCGTCTTTCACCAACTGTACTACCAAGAGGTTGAACCTATCACACATCCAACTTGCATGCTAGAAATGAAATTGGTCACAGTATTTTGTCCCGTTCCTGAAATGAAGTACTTAACAAAGCAGAATATCTTACGAAGGCAGAAGATTTCAACTGCCTTTTCCAGGGAAGGAAAATATGATAACCATAATTGACATAATTTATTGTGATGCCAATTACTTTGTTACCTTTTTAAATATCCATAACTACTTGGTCTGTGTCGTTGTGAGTAAGGGAAATACACCTTGCAAACAAACGAATTTGAACTGCAATAAAGGTACGAATCACGACAATTTTGATAAGACATGCGATAAGTATAAACCTTTTCTTCCAATGTGTTGCCTTGGAAGTTTGCTGTCAAGGTCGCAAGTGAGTGGTGTTCTGGACAAAGCTGTAACGTGGCTTTGGTAACAAAATCATTACTATTCAAATATATAAAAAGCAATCCATGCAAACAATAGATAAGTTTCATGCCTTGTGACTTATAACATAGACCTTCACAAAAAAGAGGAGAAATGCTAGTAAGTGTCACTAAATGTTACTGTCAAGAGAGAATCTGCAGTTATACACTGTCTCTAGACAGCATATTGTCGTGGTCCTTCGTGTAGTGATCCTAGATGCAATCATTGGCTGATACAGATGTTACATGTAAAATTCCTTTGTAGAATTGCCACCATGAAAATAATGGCCAGACGAACGGATAATGGTCAGACGTTAAATGTGATTATATGACGTGACAAATGTGATTAATCTAATGTCTCCATTGCTTCAGGTACCAGTGACCACCAGGCTCACCACAGCATAACATATACATTTCTAAATGTCTTAAAAGACATTTAAAGACCACGCCTGAAGACAAATAGAATCCAGGAAGGTATCATCTCTTTTATTAGCCAAGATGTTTTCTGTTTTTTTAATATTACTTCTACAGAATGTGGTTCAGGTCAACACAACCATTACTTGTTGGACGTACGGAAACTGTGCAGGGCAAGTGCCTAATCTAAAGACCATACCCGAAAATGTGACTGTAAAATCACTGCTGCTCAATACAAATGGCATCGAGGAGCTGACAAACATACCAGAAATGCCGAAGCTCTTCCTTCTTGATTTGTCCTTCAATCGTTTGAGAAGATTCCCGTGGTCTTCTCTGAAGAGTGCATCGAATATTCTTCATTTAAAACTAAACAATAACGAAATTTCAAAAGTTGACGCCTACATCGACTTCCCCCAATCCTTGACTTATCTTCACCTTCAATTCAATAGCATCACCACGATTGCCGAAACTTTCCTGCATGGATTTAAGTCCCCCAAACAGACATTGTATCTGCGGATATGGCAGAATCCTCTCCTCTGTGACTGTAAGATCCAGTGGATCGTACGTTTGCGGCGATGTGTGTGGGAACACCGGGACGAAGGCTGTGTCAACGCTTCTCCTGTCAGGGTCATGAGGTGTATACTGGCCAAGTGCAACTTCCACCCGAATGGCGTTGCGGTTATCCTGGACTGGCTTCAGTTGGATGACCAAGCTATCGTAAAGCAAAAAAGCTCTGAAGACTTTCTTAGATGTGACTCACCGCAAGAACTGAAAGGAAATTTGCTGAGAGACGTTTCTCTAAAGGCATGTGCATCTCCCAACTCTTCGGGAAGTCCACAACAAACGTCGTCTCCAGATAATGCAGGGATTCACGAATCTGAAAAGTCACCAACAGAGACTGAGCCCCCAACACTTGTTATCTACAGTTGGGAGAGAACCACGGTCAAGACTTCTGAATTTTCGCTCTTTTGGAAAGGTGAGTCCCTTTGACAGTCGCGTTCTGCTGACATGACGGTACCTCGTCCTTACATGGGTCTCAGATTTGAGCCACAAAACACACCTCTAACGCATATTTAAACCTGAGAAGGGCTACATTAGAGGCATGTGAAATTCTTGTATTATTAGAACACAGCTTAGCCTTGTACAATGTTAACCGTCATCTCAGAGGAATATCCATACAAAATTTAACGTGTGTTCTGTCCTTTCGCAGGGCTCACAGCTGGCATCCTTGGCGGAGCGCTGGCTCTTTTGGTTGTAGCCTTCATCATCAGATGTATCAGTTATTGCAGAAAACGACGACAGGCCTTTTACAATAACTTGGCCACTTCTTTGCCCTTGTCAACGATGACCGAGGGGCGTGTTCAAAGTATAGTAAGCGTTGACCAGAGTGATTCTCGCGTTGATGGGCATCTTCAGGAAGGCTGCTCAAGAAAAAGGGAAGAAGACGAAAGCTGCTCTTCAACTGACGGTCCTCGAAAATGCAAACAAAATGCTGGTTCAAAAAACATGGCGCGTTCTTTGCCGCTACAAACGGTTATGAAGATTCCCGTCTCGAATGTTGTTAGTGTTGACCAGCGCAAGAGCTATAGTGCCGTTCTGGGACGCTTACAACAAGATTCCTTGCGTAAGAAAAGCCCAAGACGAACTTTGATTAAAAATTGGCGAAAAGGTATACAACATGCTGGTCCGAAAAACGCAACGGCTTCTTTGCCGTTACAAACGGTGAGTAAGATGCTCGCCTCAAATGCTGTCAATGTTGACCAGTATCACAAAACGTAAGGTCGTTGTAGGGTTTCTTCAACAAGATTCTTCGTGGACAAAAGCCACACGCCGCTTTTCTCTTAATAACCAGCGAAGTCGTAAACAAAGTGATAAGCCCCAAAACACGGCCGCTTCTTTGTCGTTACAAACGGTTAGTAAGATGCCCATCTCAAACGTTGTCAGTGTTGACCAGTACCAGGACTGTAGTGCCGTCACGAAGATGAAGACGGTAACAACTGTATAGAAATGGTCGTAGTAAGAAGGGAAGATTCGTCTTCAAAGTCTAGGTGGGTAGTCCCCCCTCTTTTGCCCAACAGGGAAGAAAGTGTTGTACCGTCGCACCTAACAGCAGTTCTCTAGAGGTCAAACCATCATCTAGCTTCTCCCACATCTACAACTTCCAAAGCTACAACACCAGACAGAACAACTCTACATACCTTTATTCAAAACCACAGCTGGGCAACACACATTTGCTTACCGGGGGTAAACTATTTCCACTCGCTACCTAAAAATATCGCGCAACTCGCATCGCTAAAAAGTTTCAAGTCTGCTCTGAAAAACATGCAAGCTGTACATATAGTTTATAATGGCCTCTGACCTCTTTCCAAAGAAAATCTGATCTGGACTTTGAAATAGACATGAGGTATGGAAAATGATTCTGATTTGTTTACATCGACCTTTGCATATGATTTCATGTAACACATGTATTTGTTTATGTATGCCTTTGGGTACTTGTGTTGCTTGTGGCTTCTTTAACCCATATTTCTATGGGCTGCACATTACCCTACAAAAACAATTTCTATGTTAATATGACATTTTTCTCTTTTTCTTTACCATGACCAAAGAACATGATAAGCTACATGTATAAGATTGGTGATCTTGTGTATAAAATACGTAGAACACAATACCAACAAAACCCACAATACCAGCATGAATTGATATGCATTGTTTGCTATGAAAGTGTTATTTTAGTTTGAGTGGCTAATCCAAAATATGTTAAGCTTCAAAACCAAAGTTAACCGTTTATCTCCCGTCGTAGTCACCTAAACCTTCTACCAACTTACTTCTGAGCCCAGAATTGGTCTTTTGGTTTTACATTGAGCAAACTTGTTTAAACTCAAGAGCCACTCAGCAAATGATGATTGTTTAGAAAATACGTTACACGCAACCATGCCAACAGACCACGCAATAGCAGCTTGAATTGATGTGCATATCAATTTTTCACGAACGTATTATGATTAGTCTGAGCTGCTAACCCATGGTGTCTGCATCACATATGTATATATGCTTTCAAACCAACGTTCACTATTAATCTCCCAGCGTAGACACCTCTACCTCCTCCCACCATCTTTGTTCAGGGACCAGAAGTGGGCTTTTGGACTTACATTGAGCAGCGTCGTTTATACTCAACAAGACCTCAAAAAAGGATAGTTGAAAATTCAAAAGCTGCATATCTCTATTAATACACACCATGTACAGTGTCCAAAAAACTAACCGAAACTTATTTTTTCATTGATTGATTAGCATGTAACGAGTCAGTCCTGTGTGTAGGTAGTAGTAGAATATCAATTCTATTTAAAAATACTTGTACCGTAAAACATAATGCCAACAGAACACACAATAGCATCTTGAAGTGGTGTGGATATTATTTACCACAAACGTGTTATGATTAGTCTGAGCTGCTAATCCAACTTGTGCTGAGTCTTCAAACCTTTAAATCCTTGCAACCTATACCTCCCACCAACTTAGTTCTGTGCACAGAAGTGGTATTTTGCCCTTGTATTGAGGAACGTTGTTTATACTCAACAGACGCTCAACAAAGGCTATAGTTGCAAAGCTGTATGTCAATACACATCATGTTTGTGTTTCTAACCAAGGGATTGAAATACTGAAGGGGTGAAGTCTGCCATTTCTGGTTGCCTTATCTTTGTGAATCTTTCTTTTCGCAAGACCATATGGCAAAAAAACTGTAGGTAAAATATTCAGCACCAGAATAAATGAAAAATACTCAGACCTTGAGCCACCTGTCCACATGTCCATACGTCACAGGTAGCGCGATGTCGTGAATGTTTCATGAACATGTTGTATAACACCGCCGGCGTCTACAAATACACCATACAGTGTCTGTAGATGTGACCGGTTCAGTTGGTACTTCACAGTTAAGGTAAGCCGAGTGCTTTTGATTGACTCTAGACGTAAATTGGTTTCCATTCGACACCTAATTGCAAAAACAGATGCATGGCACCGCTTTCTTTTTCCCACGCTTTTCGCTTGCTTTGTGACCTCTTTCAAGCTACGCCTGTGTTCTTCACTACAAAGAGAGGGTCAGTGTAGGTCAGACACAACCTGAAAGCGTATACGTACTAGATAACGACCAAAACGTGGGAGTCTTATGAGACAAAATCATTGATTTTCTTTATTTTTTAAACACCTGGTATTACTGATCATGTATCTTTTGTGTTGTACCTCAGTGGGGTCGAAATGTTGCCGCAAAGAAGCTAATGTTTAACATTGTATAACTTTGCAGTCGCCGGGGTTTTCACCCTAGTGTACGGAAAATGAAAAAAAAAATCCTCTTGTATTTCATTGGAAACACGCGGATAACAGTGGCAATGTAAACACTACGTATAATTTTAGATGGTTTACTCAAGCCAAGGCCCAACAGGCAGTAAGCAATATAGATCTTCACTCGATAAAGATAGGGATGTATTGGGACGGTTTTCTCGCAGCAGGCAGTGTCTGCATTGACCCATTGCACTACATTATTGGCTATATTCGGGGGATAGCCCTTATGTATGACGGTTTCCTCACAACAGACTACGAGACAGTGTGTTTGTATTGACATAACTTTGTTGTTGGCAACAATATTTTAGGAAAAGTCACCAAGTTTGGTGGCCCTAGCACAAGCCGTTCGGACGTTAACCGACATCAAAGTTGGCGCGGGCACTTTAATTTCGCCCCCTTCCCCAGTCTAGATATGGTTAACATCTTATGATTATATGTAATTTCAATCATTGAATATTCATAATTTATGCTTATTGATGACGTCATCGGTCAAAATCCAATTGGCTCTTGTGCGTATTTTTTTCACATAAAATGTTCATATGAATACCTTTAGTCCATTTGTATTGAGTTTTGAGGTTGTATCTTGTAAAAAAAAATCATTGTTTCCTTTCAGAGAAGTTGAGAGAATCAAGAAATAAACCAAACCATATATAAACCGTATATAAAGGGTGACGACAGCACTGTAGATCTACACGCTTATCCGACTCCTGAAGATCTACACGCTTATCCGTTTGGGTAGGACGTAACTAAGATCAGCCGACATGTTTCTCCTCCTTTATATCACATATATACTTGTAACCACCCTAACAAACACTAACGCCGTCAATAAGTGTTGGGTTTACGGAAACTGCGCAGGATATACACCTAATCTAACGAGCATACCCAAGAACGTGACGACAGAAATACTGCTGCTGATGTTGAATGACATCAAAGAGCTGACAAACATACCAGAAATGCCGAACTTGACTCTTCTGGATTTGTCCTATAATCGTTTGAGAACATTTCCGTGGTCATCTCTGAAGAATGCACCAACCATTTGTAAGTTAAAGTTGAACAATAATGAAATTTCGAAAGTTGACGCCTACGTCGACTTCCCTCAGACCTTGGAGTATCTTTACCTTCAGTGTAATCGCATCACCACGATTCCCGAAACCTTCTTACACGGATTGAAGCCACTAAAAGAGACATTCTATCTGCGGATATGGCAGAATCCTCTCCTTTGTGACTGTAAGATCCAGTGGATCGCTCGTTTTCGGCGATGTGTGTGGGAACACCGACAAGAAGGCTGTGTCAACGCTTCTCCCGGCAGGGCCAGGAAGTGTATACAGGACAAGTGCAACTTCCACCCGAATGGCGTTGCGGTTATCCTGGACTGGCTTAAAAAAACTCATAAACTCATTTCTGTAAAACCACCGACCCCCGGACAGAGTCTTAGATGTGACTCACCGCAAGAATTGAAAGGAACTTTGTTGAGAAATATCTCTCTACCGACATGTACATCTGCCAACGATTCTGCAAATTCACAACAAACGTCGTCTACAGATAAATTAGAGACTCATGAACCCCAGAAGCCATCAGCGGAGACAAAGCCCCCACCACTCGTTACCAACACCTGGGAGAGAACCACGGTCAACACTCCCAAACTTTCGCTCTTTTGGAAAAGTGAGTCGTTTTGATTTCTGTTGAGATGGCCGTAGGATTATGAGACATCAACATGAAATGCTAACGCTGATAAATCTACGTTACAATAACACAGACGCTTTTTTCCCGAATCTAAAAAGGGATACAGAATAGACAGTCGACATCGAGGAGCTTTCTTGTACTGTACTAAAAACAGTTTTTATGGGTTCACCACAAAGTGGTGAAACCATATTGCTTTTTCTCATGATTCTCCTCCTTCTTCTTCTCCTCCTGCCATTTCTTTAAATGGATTCAGCTTCTTCATTTTGAAGCCTAAGGACCTGAAATTTGGTATGGAGGTACAGTAGGCAAATACCCCCAGGCGTTTTTTTAATTTTTGTGATACAGGCTTTTAGAATGGTTTTATTTGAGTTTTTTGGCTGTGTTATAGCAAATGTATTACTGAGTTAGTGTGCAGTGTTACCACATTTGGGCATGAGTCATCACAATGGAATGCAGGGCATCAACCAATAGGCATGCAGCTTTCCTCTATTCTCCTTGCTGATTGGCTGTTGGAATTTAACAGGCTTAACTTAATTAATACCTGCACAGAGCCATTCCAT